CCCAGGCTGGCCTCGAACTCACAGAGATCCGCCTGCCTCTGCCTCCCGAGTGCTGGGATTAAAGGCGTGCGCCACCACCGCCCGGCTTTTCTTTTAATTTTTTTAAACAAAAATTTCAGGTATAAAATGTATATGGGTGTTTTGCCTACATTCAAGTTTGTGCACCACATGTGTGCAATGCCCATGGAGGCCAGAAAAGGACACTGGATCCCCTGGAACCAGAGTTACAGATAGTTATGAACTGCCATGTATGTGCCAGGCACTGAACCCAGGTTCTATATGAGTAGCTAGTGCTCTTAACCACTGAGCTTTTCAGCCCCTTCTTTTAGCTTTGAACATTAAAAAAAAAATTTTTTTAATTAAGATGGAGCTGGAGAGATGGCTCAGAAATTAAAAGCATTTGCTGTTCTTTCAAAAGACCTGGATTTGATTCCCAGCACCATACAGTGGCTCACAATCATCTGTATCTCCAGTTCCACAGGGTCTAATATCTTCTGCTGGCCTCTGAATGTACTGCATATATGTGGTGTAAAGACATACATTCAGGCAAAACACACACACACACACACACACACACACACACACACACACACACACACCCTGGGTTCAATTCTCAGAAATGCAAAAACTAAAGAGGACCTTCTAGCTGCTCATCCTCCACAGTTTTTTCCTGGCCTTTCTTAAGTCTCAGAGCTTTGATAGATCATCCATGTCCCCTCAAAGACATTTAAATTAGGATTTGTTTTACTTCTTTTTTAAAAAAAAAATTTTATTTTTATTTTATGTGCATTGGTGTTTTCCCTGCATGTATGTCTGTGTGAGGGGGTCAGATCTTGGAGTTACAGACAGGTTGTGAGCTTCTGTGTGGTTGCTGGGAATTGAACCCGGGTCCTTCTGAAAAGGAGCCAGTGCTCTTAACCGCTGAGCCATCTCTGTAGCCCGTGTTTTACTTCTTTTTAAATTATGTGTAGGGTGGGTATCTGCATGGGGGTGCATGTGTCCATGGAGGCCAGAAGGAATCATCCATCAGAGCTGGGGTTACAGGTAGTTGTGAGCATTCTGACCTGGGTTGGGTGCTGGGAACTGAACTTGAGTTCTCTGCAAGAACAGCCAGTGCTCTTAACCCCTGAGCCAGCTCTCCAGCCCCAGTGGGCAGTTCTCAGAGTGTTTGGGAAGTGGCAGTGAGGACTGAGGAGGAGCAGGGCCTCCTAACGGCACCCTTCTCCCCTGAACCAGACTCTGCAGTGCGCCATCACAGCCCTGACTTTCTGGGACCCCCGCTGCCAGGCTGAGGACAGCGATGACCACCTCGTCTTGAGCAGCACCTACTCCAGCTGTGGCATGAAAGTGACAGCGCATGTGGTCAGCAATGAGGTAAGGCCTTCCTGGGACCAGCAGTGTGCATGCCTCTTCAGGTACCTCACTGGTCCTCAGGGCTGAGGAATGTCTGGGGGAGCAGGGAGGAGCAGTCCGTAGGAGCCAAACTTTGGACCTTGCTTAGCTCAGCCTTCCAGGCCCCAACACGGGTGTGGGAGGCGGGACTTCCTCTGGGGCCTCTCTGGCTCTGACCAGCTTCTTGCCTCTGTCTTTCCAGGTGATCATCATTTTCCCATCAGGCTCGCCACCGCTTCGGGTGAGATGGACAGCCCTATCATGCTCTTCGAATGATTAGGGTGTAGGGCTTGGGCTGGGGCCCCTTTCTGGCCTAGCAGGGAGCAGGCCTCAGGAAACTCGGTCCTGGATCCTAACAAGCCCTGTGTTTCCAGTGCGCCTCAGTCTCCCCTTCTGTCCAATGGCTGTGGTGCTGCTGAGGGTTACACTTTCAGCTTCTTAAATCCAGGAGTGTAGCACACAGCGGCTCTGTGGCCTTGGGAAAACCATTTAACCCCCCTGGGCTCTGAGGTCATTAGCTGTAAACTGTGGCATGGGAAGAGATCTCTCCCCCCAGGGGTCTTAGGAGCAGCCACTGAGATGTGTGGATTTTTTCCCCATTAGCCTAGTGAGTTCTTGATAAATAGGAGTTAATGTAAAAAGTGAGGATAAGGTCAGGCGATCCCTGCTGCCACCCCTTCCAAACTGTCCCCCTCACGCCGTAGAAAAAGGTGCAGTGCGTCGACCTGGTCAGCTTCTCCTTCCAGCTGGGCCTCTACCTCAGCCCGCACTTCCTCCAGGAATCCAGCACCATAGAGCTGGGCCAGCAAGGCTTCGTTCAGGTATGGGGCACCCTGCTCGGCTCCTCGGGTCTGTGTGCTTTTCTTCCCAACACTGTTAGAGGAAAGATGAGATTTCACCCTCCAGAGGCCGGTGAGGGCCAGCCTGGGTGTGTGGAAGGGACAAACAGAAAGGAAACTGCAAATAGGAATGTCCCACTGTCGTTCCTCTTTGCTCTATGGGGCCGCTGCTTGTCTTCTACAGAGGACGGGGACTCCCCTTCTAGCTCATTTCAAGAGAAGTCAGTGAAGGGCAAGGACATCACATCTGCACATGTCACACACACACACACCCTTAATTCTCTGTGCAGGTGAGCATGTCCCCATCGACCTCTGAGGTCACAGTCCAGCTAGATAGCTGCCATCTGGATTTGGGGCCTGAAGGGGACATGGTGGAACTCATCCAGAGCCGAGCAGCCAAGGGCAGCTGTGTGAGTTTGCTGTCCCCGAGCCCTGACGGTGACCCACGCTTCAGCTTCCTCCTCCGTGTCTACATGGTGCCCACACCCACAGCTGGCACCCTCAGCTGCAATGTAGCCCTGCAGCCCAGCACCTCGTCCCAGGTGAGTGGGCATGGCCCAGGTCTAGTTTCAAGGTGGCTTATGGGTCTGGGGTGATAGTGCAGGGAGATGGAGACAGCTGGCGGCCAGCAGAGCGAGAGCCAGGCGTGGGGCTTCACAGCCTGGCTATCGGGAGCAGTCACTGCTACCTACAGCCTGAAGAATCTGCGGCATTAGAACATACATATAGCTGCAACTATCCATCCATTCACCCTCTGCATCTTTAACCATCCGTCTGTCATGCATCCACCAGGAGCTGGACCGTTCACCCATATACCCACCCACGTACTCAACCATCCATTCACCTTCCAACCACCCACACACCCATTCATCCACCTACCCACTCACCCACCCACCTCTCCACCCATCCATCAACCCACCCACACATTCATCCACCAGTCTACCAATCCACCTACCTACCTACCCGTCCCTTCACCCACCCACCCCTCCACCACCCACCTGTGCATCCTCCCCTCCACCAGCCACCCACCTACCCTTCTCTCTGCTCATCCACCAACCCTATCCAGCCATTGTTCTCAGGACTTCCCACCCAGCCCCTCACTTCCAGCATCCCACCCACCCACCCACGCAGTGATCACCAGTATGGCTGATCTCAATGAACCAGAGAGCTTAGGGAAGACTAACAGGAAAGCTTGCCTTTCTACTTTGCTGGTATCAGCATGTTACTGTCCAGTGAGTCTCCATTCTCAGGCCCTCAGTCCTGACACACTCACAAGAACATTCCAGGTATCTGCAGGACTCAAAGACCTCCCGAAGCTGGGGCCACCAGAGGGCCACACCCTCCCGGCCCCGTGCCTCCAGCCTGTGAAACGGGCATCTGGGATGGCCTGGCATGTGGCTCACGGCTTGCACGGGTAACAGATGCAGCGCTCCTACTAAACACGTGGGCATCAGGGGCCTCCATTCACAGTAGCCACAGGCTATCCCGCTCTCACACACCACACGCCACCCTAGGACTTGTCCACAGGCTCCCAGCTAGAAAGTGACAGACTAGGACTCAGCCAAGGCTTGGGAATGGTGGCAAGTCAGAGCTGCGGAGCCAGGGAGAACCACATGCTGCCAGCTGAAGGCTGGACCACTTATCCATCACTCTCCTCCCTCAGGAAGTCTACAAGACCGTCTCCATGCGCCTGAACATCGTTAGCCCTGACCTGTCTGGTGAGTAGGGAACAGTGGACAGTGGAGGGATGGAGCCCAGAGACTAGTGGAAGATGGGGCAGGGCAGCCCTTGAGAGGAGAGGAGACTTCTCAGGCCCAGCAGCCAGAGGAGCTCACAGTAAGATGCACCTTAATAGAGGAAGGCTGTTGAGTGCCATGGGACGGCTCTCCCGACCTCAGGCCCCTCCCACACCTCATCTGTCCCCTTAGTCACTGGTACACCTTGCTGGAGGACTCGACCTCCTGGATGGAACTTGGGGCACCTTAGGTGTGGTATAGGCCTTATGTTCCTTGACACCCTCAGGGTGGAGGAAGCCCCTTCAGCCTGGTACCCTCTGGTCTTTTTCATTTGTTCCCCTGGGCCCGGGCACCACCAAGCAAGTGAGCACCTGTTGCTAGGGGCAGATGCATGCCATGTAGACTGGGATGGCTTGTGCTCACCCCCAGCCAGGATCAAGAACGCACGGTTCCTAAGCTCCCTGCATAGATGGAAGCCAGAGACCAAGGGCCCAGGGCCACGTAGGTCAGGCATGTGGCAGGAGTGAGGCCTGCAGCAGCACTAGTCTGAAAAGATGCCCTAGCCCGTTGGAAGCCGCGTAAGGCTCAGAGATGAGCAGGGGCTCATCTAAGGTTACATGCCATGGCACCCAGTAGACCAACCATAGACATTTCTTTGAGACAGAAGGGTGGCCCAAAAGGCCCAGCTGGCTGGGCCCTCAGTTCAGTACTGTACTGAGTCCACGTGCTAGAAGAAGTTCAGAGAACTCAGGAGTCACTGGCTGAACTGAAAAGCAGCATAATCCCTGTGACGCAGGCCAGCATGACAGGGTATACAGCAGCAACACTGACTGCCGTTGGCCCTTCTTTGGTCACACAGGCAAAGGCCTCATCCTGCCCTATGTACTGGGCATCACCTTTGGTGCCTTCCTCATCGGGGCCCTGCTCACAGCTGCGCTCTGGTACATCTATTCTCACACACGTGAGTATCCCAAGCCCCCAACCCACCCCTACAGTAGCACTCGGAGGCCCTCCACACCACCCCGGGGCAGGCTCAGAGAAGCCTCTGGGGAAGTGGGGAGCCCTGGCTGGGGCCCTGACCTCCACCCCTGCCCACGCCCCTCAGGTGCCCCCAGCAAGCGGGAGCCCGTGGTGGCGGTGGCGGCCCCGGCCTCCTCTGAGAGCAGCAGTACCAACCACAGCATCGGGAGCACCCAGAGTACCCCCTGCTCCACCAGCAGCATGGCATAGTGCCCAGCCTGGAGCCTCGGGGGCCCCCCAGCCAGCCCTGGCCCCACGGCAGAGACCAGGCAGCCAGAAGCTGGGAACCACTGGCCGTGAACCAGTGCCCGGAGCCAAACGCCTCCACTCAGCAGAGGATGGAGCATGCCCTCTGCACCCACCCCTCACACCTCCCTCGCAGAGGCTTGCTGCCAGTGGAGACTCCAGCCCGGAGCACCCCGGGGTCTCCTCACCCCACTTTGCAGAACTCTCCAACCCAGGGGCTCTGGGATACGGCTGCCCGGATCTACAGAGAGACCCAGCACTGCCCTGTTCATCCACATTGCTGTAGAGGCTCAAGCAGCTGCCTTCCAGCTGGATCCTGTGCTGGTGGACTGGGCAGGGTGGGAAGTGAGAACTCCGGACATGCCAGCCCAGCCCAGCCCAGCCCAGAGCCACCCGCATCTGGTCCTGGTGGCCTCCTCACCTGAACTGGCACAACTTTGGTGGGGGAAACAGAAGCTGAGGGGTGCTCAGCTCAGGGAGGGGCATCTCAGAAGAGGCAAGAACAGTAGGGTGGGGGAACCCAGCCCCTCCCAGAAATGCCACAGAGACCTCCTCCCAGCCCACCCACTGGGCGGGAAGCAGGAGAGGAGTGGCCAGACTGCCGGTCCTGGGCCAAGCCCTGTAAATTCGCCAATAAATTAGACATGAAACCAGTGCCCCTTTGGGTTGTACTGGGAAGAGGGGGAGGGCCATTATGACACAGAACGGGACGGCACACCCCTTGGGCTGGCCTGGTAGCAGATGGCCAGAGCACATGTTCAGAGGAAGCCGGTCCCCTCTGCTGCTCCCTCATTTGGTGGCCCAACACTAAGCCCTGTCTGCAGTCTCTGGGGTTTGGGACACAGCTCCCCGCCAAAGCTCTGAGTTCTAATCCTGCACATGTCTCTTTTCCCTGATGGGCCTGTGAACAGCTCCATGGCTCCTGGAAGCCAGCCACTCTCCCTCATCTGTAAGATGGGCATATAGGGTGGGCGAGGAGGTTTCAGAGCAGTGTCTTGGTATGTGGCAGACAGACATCGGTCCAGTCTTTTCGTGACACAGGCCACCTTATGCTCTGAGGAGGGCATGCTAGAAGCTGCTCCTAGGCCATACAGCCAGGGCCGCCTTTACCCCGCCAGCTCCTACACTCCAGGAGCTCCAGCCCCAAACCCCAAAGGTCTGATGAGGGAGCTAGGAGGTAGCGCTTAAGAGTCAATCAAAAGTTTGTCGTTTATTTACAAAAAATAAAAAATGAAAGGGTTTAAAAGCTTCAATTAGTTCTAGCAACTCACAGTCCCCAAATGCCCAGGCAAAGGCCCTCTCTCTTCCCAGAAGGCACCGGGGGGAAGAGGAAGTCTCTGGCCTAGCCCCAGGCAGGTCTATAGGCTGGTCAGGCAGCTTGCACATAAGCTGGGCCTGAGCCAGGAGGCAGCAGGGTGGGCAGGGCGGGCTGGACTGAAAGCCTGCAATGGTAGGGACTCTGGGAAGCCCCCTCCTGTCTATGCCAGAGGAAGGAGAGGCCACGGTGCGGCCGGCGCTTCTCACATCCCTAGGCCAGTCTCAAAAAGAATCTGCAAGCAGAAATCCAAAGGCACTGAGTATCCGTCTGTGGAGAAGCAGGCAGGTGTGAAGTTCCCGGCTCTGATCCCAGGCCTTGGCTACTGGGACAGGGAAGGCTCCAGCAGCTTTAGGACTCCACCCACCAGGTGCAGGCTCCCCGTGACCAGTACGTGGACCGCAGCAGCCTCACGGAGAATGCTTGCCCCACTGCTGGCTGTGGGGTGGCTGAGGAGGCTCCTCGGGGGGTTCGGGGGTTGAAAGATGGGATCCCGGCCTTGGCTGATCCACTGCAGGGCGTGGGAGATGCAGCTAAAAACTAGGGAGTCCGTGCTAGCAGAGTGAGGTGGGTGCAGCGCCAGCAGCAGGGAGCCCCCCGGCCCGCCGGGCTCTGCGCCGCCGCCGGGGCCGCTCCAGAGGTCGGGGCCGGCTTGTTTCTCGGCCAGGCAGCTCCAGTGTTGCTGGTGTTGGAGGCAGCGGAGCAGCACCTGGTCCAGAGTCACCGTGAAGTTCTGCTGGTCTGGGGGGTCCAGGACAAGGCGTTGGTGGAGGGGAGGGGAGGGGCTGGCCCACAGCCAGCGCTTGCTTAGCACCTGGCTCTTTCTAAACAGCACTTCGCCAGACTCTGCGGGCGCCTGCACCGTGGACTGTGCCCAGTGCAAAGTGCTCGCTAACATGAGAACCAGAGCCTGGTGGTCCAACTCCACCACTCCATGCTCATCTTTACAGTGTCCAGCTGGTCCCCCACCAGGTGGGCCTAAGTATTTCCCCGGAAGCTGGTTAAAAATACAGATCTCAGAGCCCTCCAGACCTGGTCCAGTGTGAGACCCGGACATCTATCTGCTGTAATTGCAGGACAGTACAAAAAGCATTTTAAGAGCCAGTGAGATGGCTTAGTGTGAAGACTTGCCGCCAAGCCTGGCTACCCACATCTAATCCCGACAGCCCATGCCCCACAGGGTGGAAGGAGAGAACAGACTCTCCCACGCTGTCCTCTGACCTCCACTCATGTGCCCAACCCCAACTAAATAAGTGAATAGGTGTAATTAAAAATAACTTTTAAGGGGCTGGAGAGATGGCTCAGAGGTTAAGAGCACTATCTATTCTTCCAGAGGTCCTGAGTTCAATTCCCAGCAACCACATGGTGGCTCACAACCATCTGTAATGAGATCTGGTGCCCTCTTCTGGTCATACAGGCTCTATACATAATAAATAAATAAATCTTAAAAAAAA